CTTTTCTTGCGCATTACGGTTCGAACACTCGTAACACCTATACGGATTCTCCTGCAAGTATGACCGTAGCTGAGTATGAGGCCAAATTTACTGAGTTGGCTAGATTTGCACCACATGTGGTCGACATCGACTACAAGAAAGTAAGACATTTTGAGGGAGGCTTGCGAGATGATGTCTTAGAGAAAGTAAATGTACTCAAGCTGGAACCCTATATCGAAGTATTAGATCGAGCCATAATATCAGAAGCTAATATAGCCAGATAGGCCAAATCAACGACTAACTGGAAGAGTAGTAAAAGACAGGGCTTCTTTTCAAAGAAGTGATTTTCAAAGAAACAGAATATAGGCTCCTCAAGTACCTCGAATTCTTCCAGAGACACATTCCCAATGTGCAACCAGTGTGGCAAAAGGCATCATGGGGTTTGTTATCGTATATTAGGGGCCTGTTTTAAGTGTGGTAATATGGGACATATGGCCAGAGATTGTAATCAGAACAGTGGAAAATTAGTTGCTAGCTCAACAGCATCTATCCCAAAACCAGGAAATACCACGAGATCTATTACCACCAGAGATACCGTGAGGCAAGGGCGAGTTTTTGCACTTGTTCCGGGGCGATACACAGAATGTTGAAGTCGTTGTCTCAGGTACTATTTCTATATGTAATCAGGATGCTTTTGTATTAATTGACTCTGAATCAACACACTTTTTTCGTAACTCGTGCGTTTGCATTAGACTGAGTAGACCTCTAGAACCATTACCATATTTGTTATGTATGTGTGTTCCATCTGGGGAATTTGTGTTGTGTGCATCTGTGTATCAATTTTGTGACATGCGTATTGGGAATGCTATTCTATATGTAGATTTATTACCCTTGGACTTTAGACACTTTGATATAATTCTGGGCATGGATTGGTTAACTAAATACTGTGCCACCATTGATTGTGTAACAAAACGAGTCGTATTCAAACCACCGGAACATGAAGAAATTGTGTTTGTGGATAACGGGGTAGTGCCTCTACCTTATTTGATATCTGCAATGAAAGCATGTAAATTGATCAAGAAAGGATATCAGGGTTATTTGTGTTGTGTGTTATCTGAACAATCTGTGAATGTTGAATTAAACAGTATCCCTATTGTTAGAGAATTTCCAGATGTGTTTCCAAATGAATTACCGAGGGAATTAGTGGACAGGGAGATAAAGTTTACTATTGAAATTGTGCCAAACACTCAGCCTATTTCTAAAACTCCCTACAGAATGGCTACTGCTGAAATGAAAGAATTGAAAGAACAGCTGCAAGACTTACTTGACAAAGGGTTTATTCGACCCAGTACTTCACCATGGGGTGCACCGGCGCTATTTGTGAAGAAGAAAGACGGAACCTTACGCTTATGTATCGACTATCGAGAACTGAACAAAGTAACCATAAAGAATA